GGTTTTGTCTCCTAAAAACTGCATCTGTAAGAACAAGGCCTTTTTTGGAGCTGTTGGTAACTTGGGCTGTTTTGGTTTACGATTATGAAGAAAGAAAAGGAAGCAAAGAACATCCTGGATAAATTTAATGAGGTACATCCTGCAATAAATTTTACTATTGAGAAAGAAAAAGACTCTAGTATTTCATTTTTAGACGTCCTTATGACCAGAAAAGAGGACGGCACAGTAATAAGAAGTGTTTATAGAAAACCTACACCAACGGGCCAGTACACACATTTTCTCAGCTTTGTGCCCTTGAAATGCAAACGCAATCTAATAAAGTGCTAGGTCCACAGAGCAAGAGAGATTTGCTCGGATGAATGTCTTGACGAGGAACTTAACAATATTAAACGGTTGCTAAGTGAGATGCCAATTCACAACATAGCACGACCACTTCGTAATGTCTTCTTCGAGAGTAACTGTCCTCATCTTCGACTTGCTATCCTAGATTATTCCACTGTTAGTCATTGTCCACGAAATTATTTCATGTTAATCCTCAAACGTCGTTGAAGCGTCCATACTAGGAGCTAACATAACAATAAAGACCAAACATTTCGGTCCAATTATCAGTCAAAAGGAAAATTAAAAACTGAATTAAAGATAAATAATAAGACATTTAGCTGTTGATTTATAGCTGACTGCAAGCTAGACATCATGACTTGTGGAGATAATAAAGTTATCCATTAAAGGTTTGATCTTAAGCTGACATCACAGTTGGACAACCATTGAAAAATTAGGGGGTACCTGGCAGTTTGGGACTATTGAGCAATACCTGCCCACCGGAGTTCAAACCCAGGATGGTTACAATGTAAGCTCGTGGATCATTCGGACACTGAGACCCCACTAAGTGGCCCATGAATTCCGACTCTTGTAAATCCGCGATATATATATATATATAAATATATATATAGCGCAAAAGCCAGAGAGTTTGATCGGCGAGTAACTGTCCTCTCACCTGACTGGGCGAACCTCTCTGACCACTTCATCCCACGAAATCCCCGGATAGCATCCTGTATGGTGTCAGTCACTAGTGAGCGTCAGATAAATTTTTGAGTGTTGGTACAGGACAGTTACTCGCCTCTAACATTGGTTGGCGGTTGAGCTATATACCATGAATTTGTAGGAGCAGGAATTTGACAGCCGACTGGTCGAGTCTCAGCGCCTGAATGGTCTACGGATTAGGCATATGATCAGGAGGATCTAGGTTCAAACTACGGCGAGAAGCGTGCCATTGAAGATTCCTAAACGAGAACGAAACAGCTCTCCAGTACTCCCTGCTGATCTTACAATGATTTTCTAACTGATACCAGCTAGTGGTCAAACCGGTAACCAATCAAATCCCTGAAAACCAACGCATAAAAATTATAAATATTAAACACTGATCTCCAATTCTTCCATTGAATGATGGGTCACTCTCACTTACAAACTAATAACCATGTTGGTAGAAATACAAGAATTCTAACTACAAATGAGTTCAAACCGACCCAATTACTCCTCTCTTCTTCATTATACCTACTAAATATCAAAATCTATTCTAATGAGCTCACTAAAGTTAATTATTGCATTCCAATAGTCGTATCTATTCCTAACAAAGTAGACTATAATTTCTCACAAGAAGAAGAAGCAGACGAATAGAGAGTTACTCACAATTTACCAATCCACTGGATTGCATTTCTGACTTATTTCTATTACTTCAAAGTTAAACAGGAATGAATTTCTGAATAATTTATGTTTTTGCTGACTAAATATTCTGAATTATTCCCACATGATGAATTAAAAGTCCATCTGAATGAAGCGTATTCTTTTCAATAAATTCACTTCACGTTCTTATAGTTATAAAATATTTACTTACATTGTGAGTTTTTTTGTCGTGATTCGGATTGATTCCAAAGAAGATTTCGTCACAAACCAGCATCAGTTATGGAGATCATTGAAAACCATGGAGTTCTTCATAAGTGAACCGTCAAGATCCTATCGGGGATCGAATCACGAATTGAGAAAATAATTACTTGGAATTCACGGGTCGCTGAATGCCATCTCAAGTGGCTGAATGGTCAACGAGCTACGTCCCGTAACCTGCTTCGATGCCTGCAGGCTGATGAAGACTCCCAAAACAGGACGAAGCAGCTATTCAGTACGCCCTAATTTCTCAATGGCTCTCTAATTCATATCAGCCTGTGATCAAACCTACACACATAATGAATTTAAAATTTACGTCAGACCTCTGCTTCAGTTAGATATCCATACCAAAGTAAAATGAAGTATTCATTGACACAGGCTGAGTATTTTTTGTTGTTGAAAAAATGCACATTTGTTGCAGATACATCTTGCTGCTAAACATGTAAGCAAAAGGCCTAAGCGTACAGCTTCATGTCGACTATCAGGAAAATCAATTGGCATAGAGTATTCTTTAGGCTCACGATGAATAATGACTCTAATAATTCGGTCAGTGGAATTCAATTGATGCTTACAGATAGATAGATGGACAATAATGTATATTGTCTGGTAGGGAATCTTCTTTTAGAGCTTGTAATAAATATCACATCCAAATTACAGAATTAATTTATAAATAACTAACTAATCAATACAAAACTTTTTTATGATCAATTATTCAATGTATTGTTTAGTAATATTAAAAAAAATTATCCAGATTGTTTAAATTAAACCGTTGTCATGGTAATATTTTCATTGTTCAAGTTAATTTTGTTAGACACAAAATAAAATATCACTTATTCACAAATGACCTGATAATGTGAACCATTCAATGAGGAATAAAAAACAGCAATAAATGATGATTATTTAAGTATTTAAGTTGTATTTCAATATACAAAAGTAAACTTGCTAGTGGTTTTTATTTAGTCATTTTATTATTTATTTACTTTTTGATTATAGCTTGATTCCACACCGTATTTTTGGTACAAGTATGAAATTCTCAGCATGTGATACTGGTAGCTGAAATTTTGCAGGCCGACCATTATTATCAGGTGTATGTGTGTGTGTCGGCAGGGGATCGAACCCCGAACCATGTGCATGGTCGGTGAGATTCCTAACCACTGTGCCACCACAGTACATAACATTTAAATTGATCAGTAATCAATCTCTATAACTCTCTGCTTCATAGACGAGTAGATTAAAACAAGCCAGTACATCTGACTGAGGTGAGATTAGCATCACTAAGCACTATTCAACAAATTAATATTCACATCACAAAGCTTAATCCACTAGATAACACTGATAACATCATTAAAGTATGTATTACAGCTACAGCTGGATCGATACTTTGTAAAAAAACAGTATCATAATGTTTAACATCTATAACGTTATTTCCTTTGGTAAATTTGCATCAAATTCAAGTGTATGAGTATAACACACCGCCAAGCTATACACTTTCCCCATTACTGTTCAAGAGTGTTAGTCACCCTACAGCTATAATTGACGCGTACGACAAACCTATTAGGTAATGGATGATTCTCGGTCGGTCGGTTTTCGACATAGAACTCTGCACATATGTGCGGCAGTTCAAGTCGCCACACTCCATGTAGCACACAAAGCAAGAGAAGAAATTAGGAGAAATGCATAGTATAGACATTATGGTGACTGAGAAATTACCGCTATAGTCAATTTTAAACATTTCTAACCACTGACTGACAGCTAACACGTACTTAGCCCGTATTTTATGTGATGAAGACACTGTTAGACGTGAAACATATAAGTTACTATGTAATTAGCATAGTAAATCGACCCTTTCATTGTTCATCTTTCTGTAATTCTATGGTGTCACCCTTTCTATCGTTTAATTATAACTTTGCTATTTTTATTTTAGTTGTTATTACTATTATTACTATAATTTTAATATTTTTCTCCTTATCCTCTACTGTAATTGCTACATAGCTCCTATAAAAACGTTTTGTTATCATTATTATGTATTAATTATTCCGTTTATCTACTTTTTTTTGTTTGTTGTTGTCGTTTTTGAGTAAATTAGATGCAATACTGTACTGAATGCTGAAAATTCCTTGCTGTATCATTAATACTGTTTTTGGAATAAAGCAAAAAAAAAAAAATTATTATTATTATTATTATTATAGAAATTACATTCAATTATCTCTAAATATGGTGTCGTATTCGTGTATCGCGCTTATCAAATATTATCTGGATACAAACTAATGTGAACTGAAAGCTATCACATAAGGAGCAACAAGAAGAGATGTCAACCTCGTGGTATTGCCACTGTTTATTGACTTTTAATCTATTAACTCATAGATCATCTATTCACTAAGATTAGATTCGACTTTAAACACAAAGATGAATTTTCAGTTTCAAATTCGACCATGGATTGATATCAGTAGTTAGACAGAATCATTAAAAACCAGAGAGTACTGGACGGCTTACATCAATTTGTAGTCAAACCATCTTTTGAAAATAATTAATCTTATGCTTAACATCGACTGACTGGCTACAGGAAGAGGGCTTTGGGAGTGTACTAGTGAGAAGTCGTGACCAATGGGATCCATCCGGTCGGGAGTGAAGACATTGGCTGGCAGTTGAGCTAAAATCACGAATCGATAGGAGTCAGAATTCATGAGCTGGCCATTGGGTCGCATCTCAGTATCTGAGTGGTGCGCAAGCTTGCCTTGTAACCAGAAGATCCTGAGCTCGTGCTACCAGTGAGTGCCAAACTAGGAGGAAACAGCTGCTCAGTACTCCTTGCTGGTTACTAATGGTTCTATAAGTGATATGAATTCGTCGGCAAACTTGAAACAAAGATGAATAATCAATACTGGTCAGTGTTGAATTGTGGTTCCCAGCTCTTCCAAAACAAAAACTATGTAACTTTTTCATGTGATCAACTTCTGAAACTACTATTCTTTTTTCTCTTTCTCTTTCTCATCTTCTCAGGTATACCTTCCTAGTTTCAAAGAGGAAATAAGAACTACTATTTACTGATGACACAGAACTATCCTATTATCTTTTGTAGTATATAACAACGTGTATGCCTAAGCGAATCTATCCACCCATCTATTTATTACATTATTTTCGTTTGTTCACCTTGACTTTTTCTCATTTCGATGAGGAAAAAATATTACTGAAACAAAAGAACAGACACAAAGTCAATATACATAATTTGTTGCATTTTCTGTTGTTGTTGTTGTTTTAACACAGTACTTTATGAAAATACACTTCAGCTCTTCTCGAGTGTGTATGTGCTATTACTTACATTGTATACTACACATATAAAAGGAGAAGACACTGACTGACAGGCATATTGGATTCAAATCCAATTCTGTGGGATGGTTTACTCTTTACTATCAGAGAGAGAGAGAGAAAAAAATGCCCAACAACATACTATATCATTAAATCATCAAAAGAAGTGATTTACTTCAAGTATACAGCAAAATGTGAAGTAAGAAGATGCCAAAAAAAAGAAGTGATGACAGTAAATCGACTATAGAAAGATTGATCACGCATAGTTATAGTAATTCATTTGGAGGACAAGAGGCAAAAATAATGGTACCCTTATTAGTAGTAGTATAATTGTCGTCTGTTATTCGCCATCATCATCAACTGATGCATGCCTGCATACAAAAGCTGAACACTGTTTAGCAAAAGCAGGGTAAAAATTAACATAGCAAGCAAAGAGGAAAAGACAATAATAATAGGATAGACAAGAGAAATGTGAATATTTGAGAAAATCAAGAAAATAGGATCTCACTGAAGAGTTTAAAGGATTGAAGACTGGAAAAAAAACAGAAAAAAAGAAATCTGATAAGTGTACATAAATGAATCAAGTTGTGGTGTGGAAAAAACATTAAAATACTTTCAAAAGAAAATGGGGTTACATGCTAATTGACTAGATTTGAAATATGTTGAAATTATTATTATTATCATTAATATTACTAATCAGTCTTTATTGATTTTGTTTTTTATATATACAACAAGAGTAAAATAGATACGTGTGTTTAAGTATACTTGGGAAAAGAACAATTATACAAGTTCCACAATGTGTTTATGCGTAGGTGTCAGTCTTACTTTCATGATGATAATTTATTTTATCTTGATAATTATAATTTATAAATGCGCTTACATGATTTATACAAGAATGTTTGCTGAATTAGAATAAATAGAAATCTGACCAGAATAACATAGCCTTACTATAATAATAATAATAATAATAATAATAATAATAATAATAATAATAATGATAATAATACCAAAGATTACTTACAGATGTACAGAATAGACAACAGTCAGTAGGCAAACAAACGGATGGGCTTGTCGACTATTCTTGTTAGGCAACTGCACCGGTAAAGAGTAATAACTAACAAAGAAGACGAAGGAAAAATATTCAATTTACCTTTGGTATAATATGTAAGATGATATAAGCGCTATACATGCTTTCTCCTCTCTGCTAAATGATTATGATTTTTGTATGTTTATTTGTGAATATCTGAACATGAGAAATATACATAACATAAACGTGTTCACTTTAAATAAGTTACAAATAGTTTAACATTGTTGTCATTAAAATGGATTACTTTTCCGACTATCATCACACCATGGTGAAATAATAGACTCAGGGTGAATAGAACATGGTAATGGTGAGACTGAGGAATCAGATGATGTTGATGAACGTGGTACTAAGAAAGAATTACGACTTCTAGATTGATCAGTAGGAGATTTCCCCACTTCTTGATTTGTTAACAATTCATCATCTTTTTGTTGACGTCGAAGTTTACGATACTCATATTCATAGTGTGCTTGAGAAATAGCTGTATCTAAATCCCAGTTACATTTACTTAATAAACGTTTACAATGTGATCGAGAGATATAACCTTTCCGACATAATAATTCAAATTTCAAGCGTCTTGTCGCTTCATCATAATCATAACTGCTGCCAATCAATACAGCTTGACATTCTGATTCAGTAGCTTGTGGAACTTCTTTCATAAGGCGTAAAACTAATTCTTGATGAAAATACTTTAAGGAATCTTTACAAATTTCAGATTTACCACGTCTAAGTTTAACATCTTTAAGCGGTAATTCATCTTGTGGACAGAAATCTGTCGATTCAATGTTTGTATATCCATCGACTGTAGGAGAAATGTCCAACGGTGAAGAAGGAGGAACACGTACACAGTCAGTTGCTCTTCGTACGAGAGTAGAAGTATTATTTAATGTTCTACATCGGGGAGGATCAAGAAGCCAATAATGTGTATCACTTATTTTTACACCATTCTGTAAAATAGGATAAATGCGTACATTGAAACGACTATTTTCAAGACTAAGTGCTTTAGGTGTATCCCAATCGGATGGAGTTGGAGAAATTTGAGATTTAGACAGTGGAAGTGATGAAGCAACACATTTCTTGTTTTGAACATTTAATTTTTCTATTGGTCGTTGGTTTGAAGCTGCTTGTTTTGCTAGAGCAGCTTTAAGCCAAGGTGGACAAGCACGTGGAGGTGGTGGAGGAACAGGTAATTCTGCTTCCAGCTTAGCTAGCAGAGGATCGTAGAATACTGAAGAAGAATCATCTATAGAAGGTGTATAGTCATTAGAAAGCATAGTTGTACTTGTTGCTTGGTCATCCATCACATAATTTAAGCCTTCCTCAAATACAAGATTATCTTGACCAAAATCAAACTCTTTGTAATGTTGTTTATCCTGAAATGAATGACTGCCTTTAGTATTTTTCCATTTGTATAATGGTTCTTTAGAGCAGCTACCAGAAGAGAGTGAAGGCTCTGTACCAATAGGTGAAGCACTTCCAGCTGTTGCTGAACGCTTTGAATCATGTCTGGAAAGATATTTTGAACCTGACATTCCTATTCGAAATTCAGGGGAATGATGTTTATTACTTAACAGAGTGTTTTGCTTTGGCAAAGACAGTGATCGACGTAGACCAGAGAGAGGAACACAACTGTTAAAAATTTTAGCATGCACTGAAGTTGGTGACTTTCTTTTAGGTAGTGTAGGTGAGTCACATTCCCTTGAATTCATGGATGTATCAAAAGAATTTTGTGAAATTATATTCGACTTGCCTTCTGAAGGTGCATACATATATGCCAGTATACTTTGATTGTCAGAAGTAGTAAGGTTGATCAACTTTACAATACGCGTATTCGATTTCAATGAATATTTCCTTAGTCCAGAATGTTGTTGTTTACGCTTATTTGTGTATATATTTGAAGTAAGCTTTCCTTTTAAAATTCTACTTTGATAAATATAATCATTTTCCTTGTTTAAAGAATAATATACTCCCATAATGAATCTTTGATTGAAGTAAAGTTATTTCTGTATATAAATGATTGACGTAACCTGTACACATTCTTCTAAATTGAAGAAACAATAATATTCGAATGGATGGCTAAAATCACGAGGACAGAGATTATATTAAATCTTATAGCTAACAAACGAATAACAATTAAGTATAAAATTGATTGGTTAATCAGTCTACTATTGTGTAAGTTGATTGGATGCTTTCAAGGCCAATCAATAAACATCGTCTAACTTCATGACAATGAGAAAAGTTAATACCAGCATGCATACATAATGATATTGAACACTAGAGCATAAAAACTATTCTGGGAAGATATTGACAGAGCATATTGCCTTCAAGTTGACCAAAGTTTTTTCAGCGAAATTAGAATAATGGTCATGTAATCAATTTAGGCCGAAAAAACCCAGTCAGATCCAAAATGTTTCAGTTGTTTTTGTGTTTTAATTTTATTAGGTTGGGGCTGCTAAATTTCAAAATACTCAACGTTCCATCCTTGCCAGATTTAATACTGAAAACATAACACGTAATTCAGCGAAAAGGCTTTCTTCGGCGAACTCACTTTCCTCCCTAGCTGTACAGTCACATTTATATACATAATCATAGTTGGTAATATTAGCCAATGCATAAGACTAGTTGAGTATGTGTATCACAGTGAAGTGAATAATCTAATGAATGAATAGTATTCAGGATGCACATAGAACTGAAAGAATATACGGAATTTTTTATTTTTTATTATTTTGATTACAGCTTGATGCCACACTGTATTTTCAGTACAAGTATGGAATTTTCAGCTTGGATATCGGTAGCACAAATTTTGCAGGCCGATCATAGATATCGGGTGTGCGTCGGCAGGGGATCGAGTTATAAATAGTTACCAAGACAAAAGAAAATCGAGTTAGTAGAAATCAACAAGGTTGTTACCATGACAGTAAAAGTGGCTGAATAATTTTTCTTTATATGCATAGCTCTGGTTACCTTATCTGAATGACTAAAACTTCAGCAATGCAAGGGAGACGAAAGTGTGTTGTCTTTGACAGGTTGTTCCTCATTTTACAGATTACTGTGTAGGAGGTGTTTGTAGAAATGGAATGACCAGTGTTGACAAGGTGTTCAGTCGCTGCACTATTCAAACACCCACTACTGCCCCATACGGGATAGTGTTCTTGATCACTTTTAGACAGAATGCGTGTTGAATGACCAATGCACCCGGCTCCACAAGAACAGATGAACTGATACATGCATACACATAGAAGTGGTTAGATGCGAGATGTTGGCCTTCGTGATTCTGCAGATCAATGAACGACCGGAGAATACTACTATTAACGTTGTTGTGATCTATGTTATCAAAGATCATAAAAATATTCCCTTAAGGATAACGGAGGGTAAGTCTCTGTTGAAATCCTTGTTCACGTAAAGTTTCTTTTCTGGAACAACTGATGCTTCGTTCCTCTGAACTTCTAGTTTAATGTTCTTATAAATGACGAGGATATCAAAGCAAGAATCGGAAAAGCAAGACAAGCTTTCACTACTCTCAAGTCTGTGTGGAGGTCAACAGCACTCAGCACCAAAATTAAGATCCGGATTTTCAACTCCAATATGAAGTCAGTCAGTGCTACTCACTATGCGGATCAGAGACTTGCACTGCGCGTCATAAAGAGAATCTCAAACAAACTACAGACCTTCATAACAATTGTCTTCGCTCAATACTCAAGATCAGATGGCCAGCCGGTCAGAAAAGATCAGCAACAGAGATCTCCGGCAATGAGCGAACCAACGTAGCAGGAACCGATTGTGAAACAAACAGGCATGAAGAAATGGAGGTGGATTGGCCATACTCTGAGGAAACAAACCATCGAGTGACATCACACGCCAGGCCATTGTTCGAATGGAACCTGAACGAGAAGCGGCAAGTTGGTCGTCAGTGCGATGGTGGGGTGACTTGGAGGAAGTCATGTGAAGAGGAGATGAAAACGTGTGGGCAAACTTGGAGCCAGGTGAGAATTCTAGCAGAGAACCGAACGCAATGGAGACGCACGGTTGAAGCCCTATGTTTCTCTAGGAATTAAAGGAAACAATAATAAATAATAATAATTTATGAATCTCAGTGGGTATCCAATTTTGTTGTAAGTTTCTTTCACAAGGTGTAGTTCTACTTCTATGGCATCAGTATTACAGATGCTTTGGATGCAAGTATCAAAGAATTTAATTAAATTTCGTTTTGGATCAACCGGCACCCAACTTTTGAAACTCGTTAACTGGCTGTTTCAAATAGGTTTCCTAAGGGCTGACCCTCCTAATATCCCATCAGGTTGCCCTGTCAGTTCTACAGCATTTAAGGGAATGCATCTAAAGGGATTTAAGACACATTTTCCACTTCAGTAGTGAATTATATTGCTGAATAACAGCTGTTAAATAGTTGCAGCAGCTGTAATAAATATCATCGCAAATCATGAGAATGTCATGTACATACCTTTTATATAGTTTTAAATTGTCAGTGGTCGAGTTTAATGGATCGTTCTCGAGGCTGGCAGTGAAACAGTCTGCTAATAAAGCACCCAAGGGAGATCCCAGTGCATTACATCATCCTTTTGTCTGTTGATGGTGTCACTGAAAGTGAAGTGTACATTGAAAATACACCACAGCAGCAGCTCTCTTAATAATTATTGTTGGAATTCCAATGTTGAACTGGTCATCACCTGTATACTTACATTATAAACCAGTCAGTTTCCGTAAGTGAGAGATTAGTGAAAAGTGATTGAATGTCCAAAGATAGCATACTTCTACTAGGAGCATTCATGTCTTGTATTACAATCGATGAGCTGAAAAGTGTTAACGAAACGAGAACATGGATACACGTTTCCTTACAGATTCAAGAATATCAGCCAACCATTTTGTAATAGAATGACAGAACGATTTACTACTGACTCAGAGAGGTTTAGGAGTACGTCAACCTGGAATCGAACCCACACTACGTGCATAGGTGTAAAATGTCAAGCCCTCAGGCACAACATACATGCACATATGGATACTGACACAGAATATGAGAATAGGGTTTTCAGCTGTACTGCGTCCAACATGTGTAGTAAGCTAGGCTTGTCTATTAATGAAATAATTTTGAACCGGCAGTAGTCATATGACTGTTTCATTCAAATGAACAAGTTTAAACTTGTTACAAGGTTGTGTAAGTTTTTACTCAGAATATGTATATATTATCTGTTTTTGTTCTGTACACACCTGAATAGTATTTAAATGATATGCATATATATAAGTAACAGTTTATTGTAAAGCTAATGTAGGTCAATATAGGTGAACCTAAATAAATTATATAGCTTTTCTGAAATATACTAGCCTTTGTGCCGTATTACTCAATGGTGTGCAAATGAAAGAGGACACAATTTGTTAAAGTTGCTGTGCTTGTTTCATTCGCATTATTGTGTAATCAGTGATGTAAGCTATTAAGTAACTAGTTTTAAAAACCAGTGTAAACCATTTTTACTCGTAGTTCACTAATCGATAACTCTAGTAGTAGTTGAAGTGGCATTTGCTTGTTACATGTTCATTTTACAAAAAACTTGACGAAATTATAGTTGATTACATCACAAAAACTAAAAGTAGTTCGGGTGTGACGACAAATACTCGCCAAAGATATTGGCTAGTGGTTGCGCTATATCGTGAATTGGTAGAAGTTAGAATTCATGGACTGACCATTGGATCGGGTCCCAGTGGCTTAATGGTATACGAGCTCGCCTTGTAACCAGAAGGTCCCGGGTTCGAACCCCGGTGGGTGCGTACTTATGAAGAGTCCCGAACTAGGTTGATGAAACAACTGTCCAGTACTCCCTGCAGGTTTTCCAATTGTTCTCTAACCATTGTCAGCTCATGATGAAATCCTGTAACCAATCAACCAAATCCCTACAAACCAATACTTGAATAAAATAAAAGTATCCATAAAAGTCCCAGAGGAGGTGAACTGCAAGCCTGAATATCTCAGTGGTAATGTCTGTGACTGCATCACAGGATGATGCACTAGTAGCCAGCAAAACCTACGTGTTATGGTCTGAACACAGAAAAACCAGTCCTTGCATCCTAATGTTTATGCACAGAACGGAAATGTCCAGACATTAGTAAAATGACAGCCATTTAAAATAAAATCTTCAGTAATGTTAGACAAAAATAACATAATGAGACTGAAAATTACCTAAAACAATACCGTTAGGTAGCTATAGAGACCAGAAAATTTGCTATTGCAATACAAATACTGTAGAACAAATTTACTTAACTAAAACTTAACCGCAAGCAGTACCTGAGAATCAAAAAGAATATTCCCGAAAGGGTGAAATAATCTGTTCAGACGACTGCCTCAGTGAGGAGCTTAAGATTATTAGAGAATTACTTAGAAAAAATGGTTATCCAGATAAATTCATTGAGAAAAATATGAATTCAGCACCTAGGAGAGTCAGTATGGCTACAGTTCCGAAGAAGCCAATGTTCATAAAATTGCAGTTCCTCGGAGACAACATCAGCAAAATAATAACACAGCGCCTGAAGAATGCGGTTAAAAGAGCTTACTATGCAGCAGAGGTACGTTGTCTCTTCACAACCACCCCTATTCTATGTTCGAGAAATAAGGATAAACTACCGAAATTTGCCTCTTCAATCTGTATCTACCAGTTTGACTGTAGCTGCGGAACCAGCTACATTGAGCGTACAATTAGGCAGGTTCATCATCATAATTCTGAACATCATCCAACATGGTTGAGCAAGGGACAAACAAGATCTATTCGTAGTTCTATTTTAGCACACCTTGTTGATACTGAGCATAAGGCTGATGTTAATACTGCATTTAAAATTATTTATCGCATTTCTACTAATCTTAATTTTGCTCTACTAGTTCGTCTTCTACAGAGAGCTGAAGCAATCGGAATCCACCTGAACCAGCCAAGCCACTTTCCTTACCGTGGCCATCGTTACAAGAATGCATCAGCAGGACTACGTCGCCCCCCTCCCCCTAAACCTATAAAAACTATAAAAATTATAATTGTCCAAATTATTTTATTTTTATTTATTTTGACCACTTCCT